TAGTGAATATGGCCCGTAAACATGACAATGTATCAGCTGTGATTGTTTGTCTCAATAATTTAGTAAGAGAGTTCGTCATTGTTTGTACTTGTATTTTGATGGTTATGGTAGCAATATGGGCAAATGAGAAACGAAAGACGCGGGTNCTCTATGATTTGTAATTCTTTGTTCAAAATGCTCTTTAATTATGACCATTGTCCCCTTAGATTCGGTGGTTAGAGCAAATTGGTCAATTGTTTAAAGCACACTGCTTTGTGCTTTGCAATTTAAGGAATATTTAGTCAGGACCTTTGTTATTATGAAAACCAAGTTTGTTTTGGTCATTTTTTTAGCACACTGCTTTGGCTTGGTGCATAAAAATCTATGGGTGGTGGAAACNTCTGGAGAGACAGTGAGCAGACACTTCAACACGGTCTTACAAGCTATTCTAAAGTTGCGACGCTTATTGTTGAATAGGCCTAAACCAGTTACAAATGGTTGCAGTGATCCCAAATGGAGGTGGTTCAAGGTAGTCAATACAAGTAACACNAATAATTCTTTTGGGATTGTAAAATGGTGGGCTGTAGGTGTTTGACAAATTGATTCAATAAAGCTTGGTTTGTTTTTCTTGCAAAAATTTTGAGTAACTTTCTGCCACTTTTAATGAGTCAGAGAACANACTAATTCTTTTGGGATTGTAAAATGGTGGGCTGTAGGTGTTTGACAAATTGATTCAATAAAGCTTGTTTTTTTTTTCTTGCAAAAATTTTGAGTAACTTTCTGCCACTTTTAATGAGTCAGAGAACATAAAAACAGCGGTGGAGATAAAGTAATGCAATATACTTTGTTGGCTCATTACTAAATGTGTTAGAGGTGGGGTCATTCATGTTTTTTTTTAGTAATGTAGTATACTATGTAGTACTTGGATCATTCATGTTTTTTTTTTGGAGGCAGAATGAGGGAAGCAAAACCAAGGGGCCCTTCATATTTTTTTTTTGGTCATTTTATGCAAGAAATTTAAGGAATGTTTATTCAGGACACTCTTTTTTTTTCTTTCTTCCAATTGATCTTTATGACTTATGTTTGCATGGCATTTTGGGCATAGTGTGACTTGATTACTTATGAAAAGAAGTTATTATTTGTTCATTTATGCTTCTCTCTACGTTCTTACTAATCTTTTGCTTGTTTCAATAGGTGCTGTGTTGTTAGTTGATGTTCCAAGGGACAAGAATATGTCTGGTACCATTTCTAATATGTTTGTACACACTTGACTGGATATTTTTTTTGACTTTCCATGTTGATAAATCTTGTTTACTTTCCATGTTTATAATCGTTAATTAAAATTTTCAATCTGTAATGGAACTATTGTAGATTCAGGCTTGATTCTAAAGGTTTGCTGGATTATGAATTAGTTCATGGTTGTAATATGTTTCTTTTTGGCTTCATGATTGCATAATTTTAGGACTATGTTATTTCTATTTACTGCATTTCCCTCATTGTTGGTTTGTGTTACCATGAAGCATGTAAATATCAAAATTATTTGATTTGGTGTAAACTTCACATGTGAAAAGCCTGGGTAGTAGGCATCCATGTCGATCTTGTTTGAGTGACTGATGCAACAAATGATTAGCTTTAAACAATATTTTGTTCATTTAATGGGGAATGATGCTACCACCCTTGACTTGTTACATTTTAAAGTTCATAATTATACTGTTTGGTGCAACTTTGTGCCCTGTGAAAGAGATAAAATTGTGTTGAATCTATTGTTAAGGTAAATTATATACATCTGAAATAAATTCATTTTATATCTTAGATAAAAAATCAGGAATGGTGGACAGTAGGTTACTGTCTACACTAGTTTTCTAAAGACTATTGATTAAAATAGTGGCTTTGGTAGGATATTTTGATTATATACTAGGGAGTTATTATACTAAGTTGTAGAGGTTATAAAAATCCAAAAANCTTGTTTCAATAGGTGCTGTGTTGTTAGTTGATGTTCCAAGGGACAAGAATATGTCTGGTACCATTTCTAATATGTTTGTACACACTTGACTGGATATTTTTTTTGACTTTCCATGTTGATAAATCTTGTTTACTTTCCATGTTTATAATCGTTAATTAAAATTTTCAATCTGTAATGGAACTATTGTAGATTCAGGCTTGATTCTAAAGGTTTGCTGGATTATGAATTAGTTCATGGTTGTAATATGTTTCTTTTTGGCTTCATGATTGCATAATTTTAGGACTATGTTATTTCTATTTACTGCATTTCCCTCATTGTTGGTTTGTGTTACCATGAAGCATGTAAATATCAAAATTATTTGATTTGGTGTAAACTTCACATGTGAAAAGCCTGGGTAGTAGGCATCCATGTCGATCTTGTTTGAGTGACTGATGCAACAAATGATTAGCTTTAAACAATATTTTGTTCATTTAATGGGGAATGATGCTACCACCCTTGACTTGTTACATTTTAAAGTTCATAATTATACTGTTTGGTGCAACTTTGTGCCCTGTGAAAGAGATAAAATTGTGTTGAATCTATTGTTAAGGTAAATTATATACATCTGAAATAAATTCATTTTATATCTTAGATAAAAAATCAGGAATGGTGGACAGTAGGTTACTGTCTACACTAGTTTTCTAAAGACTATTGATTAAAATAGTGGCTTTGGTAGGATATTTTGATTATATACTAGGGAGTTATTATACTAAGTTGTAGAGGTTATAAAAATCCAAAAACTTCTATAGTTGTAGTCTCTTTAAAAATTCTACACAAACAATGTAGTTAATGTGTTTGGAAAATTATTTAGTAATTATTAATATTGATATGTTAGAGGTTTTTTGTGGTATTATTTCAGTGAATATGGCCCGTAAACATGACAATGGATCAGCTGTGATTGTTTGTCTCAATAATTTAGTAAGAGAGTTCGTCATTGTTTGTACTTGTATTTTGATGGTTATGGTAGCAATATGGGCAAATGAGAAACGAAAGACGCGGGTATTGACTAGGTCAGTCGATAGGTTCCATGCACAAAGTCAGCATCTCCATAGGCTTATCGGAGAAAGTGATAGAACATGTGTTGAACAACTTAAGATGGATAGACATACATTCCATGTGTTGTGCTGCTTAGTTAGGGAAGTCAGTGGACTTACGAACACAAAGAATATGTGTGTCGAAGAGATGGTTGCGATGTTTTTGAGTGTTATAGGCCTTGATGACAAGAATCGCCCAGTTAAGTTCAACTTCGTTAGGTTTGGAGAGACAGTGAGCAGACACTTCAACACGGTCTTACAAGCTATTCTAAAGTTGCGATGCTTATTGTTGAATAGGCCTAAACCAGTTACAAATGGTTGCAGTGATCCCAAATGGAGGTGGTTCAAGGTAGTCAATACAAGTAACACACTTGTCATTATTTCGTAATTGAATTTAAACTACACCTTTGTACTCAATTGTTTTCATCATCATTGGCACGTATAGGGATACGTGTGGGGCACTAGATGGCACACATGTTAGGGCAAAAGTGCCTCTTCTACACCAAGGTAGATATAGGAATAGGAAGGGTTGGACATCAACTAATATGTTGGGCGTTTGTGGGCAAGACATAAAATTTATCTACGTATTGCCCGGATGGGAAGGGTCTACAACTGATTCTAGGGTATTGCGAGATGCTCTCACACGACGGAATGGGTTGAAGGTGGAATGTGGTAAGGTCACAACTTTTTTTTAGAAATTTTTTTGACTTGATTTGTTTATTGGAGAATTAAGTTTGAATCAATTAATGTGGACATGTAGATACATATTACCTTGTGGATGCTGGGTACATAAATGAAGAAAGTTTTTTGGCTCCATTTCATAGCCAGCGATACCATTTACAAGAGTTTGCTAACGATGCCACACTTCCAAGGAACATACAAGAGTATTTCAATTTGAGGCATGCAACAGCGAGGAATGTCATAGAAAGGTGTTTTGGGTTACTGAAAATGCGATGGGCTATCCTTAGGAAGGCTTGTTTTTACCCAGTACCAACGCATAACAAAATCAATGTTGCTTGTTGTTTACTTCATAATCTTATTAGGAATGAGATGGAGTATGATCCGGTGGAGGAAAAGTTGGATGGCCATCCATTTGAAGATGAGAATATGAATGATAATGACATAATTGATAGCATTGAATCTTCCCATGGGTGGACTGCGTGGCGTAAACTACTAGCGGCTGACATGTACAATGACTGGAGGGGTAATAGGGTACTTTGATGTATGGGGGGACGTATTGTTACATGTTTTTTTGTGAATTACATTTGCGTGATGAAACTATTTTCTTTTTTTTTTTAAAGTTTTATTCGATGCAACTAATGGTATTATTGGATGTTTTTGCGTGTATGTAAACGTCTTTAAAACTTAATGAAAAAATATTTTGTTGCCAACGTTAACTTAATTATACGCGTACATGTGGATTCACTGCTATTTGTAGTGGTTACATGGCAAGTGTCGGGAGTTCGCAGTTTAGGGGAAGTTTCCAGTTTGATAAGGGACCAAGAAGAATGTGGTTAACGTCCAAAGAATCGTTACTTATAAATGCGCTAAAAGACATTTGCAATCAGGGCTGGAAATCCCAAAATGGGGCGTTCAGATCAGGCTATTTGCACCACTTAGAAAAGGCTTTATCAGATGCACTAGGCGAAATTGACCTACGTGCCACTCCACACATTGAGTCAAAGATTAAAAATTGGAAGAAAACCTACAACAAATTCTTCACCATGCTTAGCACGTCAGGGTTCGGTTGAAACGACGTAGAACAAAATATTAATGTTAAAGGGACAACGTTTAGGCAGAGTATGTAAAGGTACGTACTTCCCAGCCCACCGATTAACGTAATTACGTCTTTCACTAACGGTCTTATTTTTTCCAGAAAGACCGCAATGCGAAAGGCATGCGTGAGAAAAGTTGCCCTTACTACAATGATTGGAGCATAATGTTTGGCAAAGACTGTGCAGCAGGTGAGTATGCCAAATATTAAGAAGAGATGGTTGGAGGTGATGATGCTGGAGTTCAGGTGCATGATACTAAGGATGTCGCCAACACTGACATAAATATGGTAGACACAGGAATGTCTAAAAGCACGCCTGTACATGGTGTGGTTGGACAGGGGGACACACCTACAAGCCGTAAACATCGGAGGAAGGCAACTGGTGAAACATCCAATGGCATTGCACGCAACATAAGTAAAATGATTGAAATACTTGGTGACTATGTGTCGAGTTTTGGAAAACAACTCTCAGATATTGCTTAGAGAGTTGGTTATGAGCAAGATGTTGCGGAGGCAAGGCATCAACTTAACGTAGAATTGGCAAAAATAGATGGCCTAACGATGGTCCACCAACACAGGACAGCTTATAAGATTGCTAGTGACCCGATTAAGGTGGACCTCTTCATGAGCTTGCCATAAAGTGAGAGACCAGCATGGCTTCTTGGCATGCTATGGGGTAATGCATTAGTGATGGACAATTAGTACTTCTCCTGACTCGCTTGTTTTGGAATATTTTCACCGATGTGATGTCTTCTACAATTTGTTGTTGTTCGTAACTTGGGTGTGAAAGTGGTACTTAGAAGATGTACATGTACTATTTGGTTGTTGATGTCTTCACAATGTATTGCTTTATGATTATTATGTTTTGGGTATTTAATGTTTGTGTTTTAAAACTGAACTGAATTCCTTGTGTTACTCACATTTCACAATATTCATGAGTTAAATAACAAGAATGCAAATGGGTTTGAAGAAGAAATGGTATGTTGTGTTCAATGGTCGAAGGGTAGGCATTGTTAATAATTGGCAAGAATGCCATGACCTTGTCAGTGGTTATCCTGGCGCTTTGTACAAATCATTTTCGTCATACATAGCTACACAATGGAGTGATGGACGAAAATGAAAAGCCAATGAATACACAGCAAGAAACCAATGTGATTGATCCTTGCCCCATTGGAGCACCTGCACGAATTCTCATGCCACACGAAATGGCTGGAAGAAAACCCTATCAAGAAATTCAATCAATCCCACAAAATGGAATTATGCTCGTTGTAGTTGCCTTCATTTTGGGATTCATAATTTGCAATATTTTGACCTCATTTGTGGGAAATTTTGTTTGACAAAATGATCATGTGCGATGATCATGTTTCCAGAAAATTTTCCTTATCAACTTATGCTATGTTTGTAATTTATGTATTTACTTTTATGGATTGGTATCAGTTAACTAATGTTCAAATTTTTGTTCTATTATTAACTAATGTATTGCACTTTCATTTTGTAATGGATATTATTATTGGACCATGGTTAAAAGAAATGAGGCGCTTAAAGCTAACACAAGATGAAGAAGATGTTCTATTGGATTGCCTTATGGACCTTAAGTTGGAGAGGTGCATTGCCAACACGGGTGAATTCCTCGAAGGAGGCTGGAGTCGTCTGTGGGAGATGATAAGTTCACGTCAGCAAGCACCACGATTAACTTTGGGACTAGTGATGGAAGTAGTTATTTTTTGGAAAAGACGTCATTTTAAGATGAAAGATATGGAGGCTTCGGCGTTGTTCCGTTAGAACAATGAAGAACGAGTTCTTTTCCCAATCAATGCGGTAGGAGATTATTTCTTAGAGGTTTATTTTTTGTTATATTTTTACATATATATATTTTACTGTAAGAATTTTTATATAAATGTGTCAATAAATTAAATATGTCATTTTTTTTAGGATGACACATTTGCAACTCGAGCGTGTGTGTGTACTTGTCCCAATTACGAGATCTTCACAGAAATATTCGGCCCATATGGGGAAGGTGGAAATATATCAATAGTTCCCAGTGCTGGCTCCACTTCAGTCACGTCACCATATAGGCCTACTGTGGACTTGGTTATCATTGATGATTAATGTCATCAACACATGTGAGCACTTTGTAACCAATATAATTATGTTTAATATGGTTTAATGGAAATATGTTCAGCCGTTTTCATGTTTTTGTGAATGGACAAATTTTGTATGTATCCCCGTATAAGTTAATGTTAGAAAGTTGCACTTTTTTGTTGGGTTAATGCTTTTTTTCCCTTTATTATGGTTATGAATAATAGTTATATTTTATCAATATTCATGGTTTTTATCTTACGTTAGGAAAAAAAATTTAATCATATATTTAACCCATAAAGGACACAAGTAAATGTATGTAACCAAACATGGGTTTGGATTAAATTGGTTAAGGGACAAAAATGTCAAATATATACAAATATATTATCATAATAGTAATATACAGTGCGCATACCAAACATGGGTATGAATAGCATTAACCCCCTCAAACCCATATTTGAATCCCATCTTGGTCAAACCCGAGTTTGGACTATCCAATCCAAATTTCTCCCAAAAAATATACCAAATAGGCCCTAAGAGTGACAAGAAAGCCAAAAACAACCCCTCAATCAGGTCCACAACATCACAGATGATCCTCCCATGGCAAGCCATTGCAAAGATTTTGGGACTTTTGAAAGGATTTAAAGAGGTTAGGGCATGGGGTAAAATTTGGCAAAACTAGGGTTTAGGTAATGGAATCCTCAAATCTTCAATGGAATCCACTAAATCAACATCCTAAATAGTGAGGGATGAGAGATTAAGGCATTGGGTAAGAAGTTTTGAAGTTTAGGAATGTTTGGAGAAGGAGAGAAAGGCATGAGAGCTTGTAAGTTAGGAAGACATTGAACAGTCTCCCAAAAAAATTTGATTAAAACTCCTAATTTTTGCATTCTGGGCAAAACCTACCAGTANCGTGTGTGTGTACTTGTCCCAATTACGAGATCTTCACAGAAATATTCGGCCCATATGGGGAAGGTAGAAATATATCAATAGTTCCCAGTGCTGGCTCCACTTCAGTCACGTCACCATATAGGCCTACTGTGGACTTGGTTATCATTGATGATTAATGTCATCAACACATGTGAGCACTTTGTAACCAATATAATTATGTTTAATATGGTTTAATGGAAATATGTTCAGCCGTTTTCATGTTTTTGTGAATGGACAAATTTTGTATGTATCCCCGTATAAGTTAATGTTAGAAAGTTGCACTTTTTTGTTGGGTTAATGCTTTTTTTCCCTTTATTATGGTTATGAATAATAGTTATATTTTATCAATATTCATGGTTTTTATCTTAAGTTAGGAAAAAAAATTTAATCATATATTTAACCCATAAAGGACACAAGTAAATGTATGTAACCAAACATGGGTTTGGATTAAATTGGTTAAGGGGCAAAAATGTCAAATATATACAAATATATTATCATAATAGTAATATACAGTGCGCATACCAAACATGGGTATGAATAGCATTAACCCCCTCAAACCCATATTTGAATCCCATCTTGGTCAAACCCGAGTTTGGACAATCCAATCCAAATTTCTCCCAAAAAATATACCAAATAGGCCCTAAGAGTGACAAGAAAGCCAAAAACAACCCCTCAATCAGGTCCACAACATCACAGATGATCCTCCCATGGCAAGCCATTGCAAAGATTTTGGGACTTTTGAAAGGATTTAAAGAGGTTAGGGCATGGGGTAAAATTTGGCAAAACTAGGGTTTAGGTAATGGAATCCTCAAATCTTCAATGGAATCCACTAAATCAACATCCTAAATAGTGAGGGATGAGAGATTAAGGCATTGGGTAAGAAGTTTTGAAGTTTAGGAATGTTTGGAGAGGGAGAGAAAGGCATGAGAGCTTGTAAGTTAGGAAGACATTGAACAGTCTCCCAAAAAAATTTGATTAAAACTCCTAATTTTTGCATTCTGGGCAAAACCTACCAGTAGGTCGATGCCAAACCTACCAGTTGGTTTTACTCTAGTGAGCAAAACTACTGGTAGTTTTATATACAAACCTACCAATAGGTTTTCACTTATTTGCAAAAACACCTGTGCTTTCCACTTCATTTCAAAACCTACAAATTCTAACACCGTATATATGACCTCTACTCCACCCAAAACATGTGTTACACTTGTGAACCAAATTTCAACAGTCATGCCCCAAGTCATTACTAAAATTGCAATATTATTTAAAATTTTGATGCTTTCAAAACACAAAGTATGGATTTCTACATTAATCTACCAAAATAAACACCCAAAATGTAAGACACATATTCAAATAACAAGGGCATTCCTAATTCATTCAAACATCAAAAACTTGAGCTTGAAATACTAGTCGAGAGTATGCACCTACACATTCATTTTCAAACTTGTGTGTTTGTAAATTGGATATGTAATTTAAGCGTTTACACAATAGAATTCACATTCAATTGGCGAGTCAAATTCAGCTTCAATGCAAAACTCACCAAAGGTCTCTCTTAACAATGAATCACACTATAGTTATCCTAGCATGTTCTCCATGTGTACATGTGAGATAGAATCATGTGCACAAAATGAAGTATGCACACATATAATCCAAAAATGAAGTTCATGCATGAAATTGAAATGACCTTGGCATAATCTCATAAAGGGAATACTAGGGCATTAGGTAGCAAAACTAACTCCTCTTTTTCTTTAAAAGTATGCATCGCCCATGCTTCTCCAGATCATTTAGGACTTTCACGGGTTGTAATAAGGCCTTGGGGTGATATCTAGGTAAATGAAACAAAGGATAGAGGAAAACAAAGAGGGTTGTTCTGAGTGAATGACTATTGTTTCAAAACATCTCCCCTTTCATGGGCTTTTCAGTCTAACACCATCACCACACTCTTTGTTTCTTTTTCTCTTTTTTCCTTAACATTTTCCTTTTATTTTGTCTTTCTTTTCTTCTTTTCACCCCTTGTTCTATTTTTCTTGGATTTTCATTCTTTTTCCATTCAACTCTTTGAGTTTCAACATCATTCATCCCTTTTTTTGAAGTTTCCATGCCATACTTCCTTTCTATTTTGTGATCACTCATATTCAACTCTAGGAACAACCAAGGTGAGGTAGATTTTTTCATACTGCACTGGCTTGGTCAAATGTGTGGTATGAAAACAAATTTACAATTAGGCTGAATCATAGCACTAGGGGTAAATTTTCACAAGAAAAAGGGCTAAGGGTCAAAGTAAATCAAGGATGGCCTAATATCATTTCTAGATTGGTATAGGGAGCATTATACATATCAAGACCAAGTCAATCAATTGCCCAAATGCACCTAACCAAGACAAGCATAATAAGATTATTGAACAAATTTGGAATTTGAAATATTTTTCCTTGAGTAAATATAAGTTCCCTCCAAAAGGTTTGACACTAAAGCTCTCA